ATCCAAACATAGCTATATTGTTAGTAAATGAACTGCCATTTACAAGTCAGTGTCTATAAACCTAATACATTTTTGCAGCAGCAGGAGCACATAAATAGAATTCGGTACTATCTCCTATTTATCCGTTTGTAGTACTGATTATATCTCCAAGGCAAAAACAAATGGGACGTCTGTCGTTGTAACAATGTTGGTAATTTTTTATTACTAACAGTACTAGATGTCATAGTTGCTATTTGTAATTAAGAAGTTGGTTTTGGGGGCATTCTTTGACTTCTTCAATTGCGTCAGCGCGACGGCGCCACTCATATCACATTTTCCATGCAGTAGAATGGATGCGCCTCCTGGGGAGACCGAGGTGTACGGTTATTTGAAACACTTCTACGAAAAAATGGAAGGCATTCCAGCAGTGAATGGGGCCTGTCCTTTGTTATGGAAGCACTGGATGATTATATGTTGCCTATGATTCAGTTCACCAATGACGTACGCCATTCTCAAAACCCACGCAAATTAAAACGAAAATACAGAAAATAGCTACGGCAGAAGCCGCAGAACCTCCACATTCCTTTTTTCCTAAATGGTAAAATAATTTTACAGCTTGGTCGTAATATCTGTGTCGAGAGGTGAGATAATCCCACACCCGCTGACCGTAGAAAAATGTATAAATAAATGGCGATTAGGCCACTGATTTTGAGGGTGCTCTCAACCGGGAGGATTTTAGCTTATAAGTTAGATGCATGAAAAAGGTGAAATAAGTTTTACGAGGATGTGCAAAAACCTCGCGGTGTAAAACGTAATCACTCTCCAGAACAGGCGACCTGACTTGATTCGTCTTCAATTTACACATATATAGGGCTACCTACTTTCTAACCGGAGAACACGGAGGCCAGTGGTAGTAACATTTGCGATAGGAGGAGAGGAAAACCCTCACGGTGGTCAAATGAATGGAAATTGCAGGGTTTAGTGCCCCTAGTTATCATTAGGCAGATAGTGAAGCATAGCCCGCATACAATTCCTGCCGTGCATGCAGCCTACTAGCCCTAATAGTCTCCGATTCAACACCTTTTCTTGTCAATTAAAGAGCATTAGGACTACAATGAGGACTCGAGTCCAACAAATTCTCCCAACTATGTAATGAAGAACAAGTACTTCAGTGCCACAAAATCATGTTTACTCGTGGACTACGACCCTCCACAACAGAAGCAGAATAGGGCCAAAGCAAAGAAATACTTCCTTTCCAGATGGCGGTTAACCGCAGAACTCACAGTTCATTGGGTTACCAGCATGCTTCCAATCGGAAGGTAAATATAGATATTAAAGGGCATACTTAGTAAACCAAAGCTCCCTAGTAGACTTTAATAAAATTTTTCCTCAAAAAATCTCAAAATGCAACACCTTTTTTACCTTCTGTCAGTGAGGGAGTCATTTAACACGCTTCAATTGCCTCGTAAATTACTTCTCAACACCATCCAAAGGTCTACCTTGAATGCGCTTCTGCGGTTCACTCCGCAAAACCAAAAAGGCTCAGTTTTGCGGGCAAAAAATTTGCAATTAGGTGGCGTTCTATAAAGGCCAATCATCTTGCTCTCCACTCTCTAGTGGGCATTAAAGCCTAGTAGGGGACGTGGCCGACAAAAAGTAATAAATTACTCCTACTGATAAATTCTAGTAGCCCAACGCTGCTTTTAAGAGGCGTTTGCTAATAAGAGGGCATGGCGATATGGTGATCGGGGAAATAATTTCTCTGGTCTAATGTCAACAGAAAAGTTGTTAGGGGACAGGGATTTCAAGCTGGGATAAGTTCCACTCATCACACCGATGTCGCTGGACCAACCCACCGCGAGGTAAAACGCCTACAGTCCACCTGCAATCAGCTCGTAGACAAGTTTGAGCAGGCAATCGCGGACGTGGTCTGTTGAAGGTAATGTAGCCTGTTATATCCTCCTGCAAAACTTTAAAATGAGTCGCTTTGAGTGCCGGTTACCTAGCCAACCCTTAGTTTGGCATTCATCACTATAGCGAATGCATGACTGCTTCATTCACTGCCCTAGAAAATACTTATTACTGTTAGTAGTAGTAGTAGTAGTAGGATTGCTAATCGAGATAATACATTTGCTCCCCAGGAAGAGGTCTTTCTAACGTTTAAGTTTAAGTTATCATTCTTTCCTTCTATCTTTCCAAAGCAAGTTTAATTCACCCGAGGATTCGGGTTTATAGTGGTTACAAAATTAACTAAAGATGGTAGGATGTGACACAAAAAATTATTCACCCCAAGCATTATCCTTGGCGAGGAACCTCGTCAGAGCGTAGGCTACCATCACGAAGGCAAGCCAAACCATTCTCTGCGCGCAAATCTTCCATACGACACCACAAGACTTTGCACTTGGCCGGAGATGTACTAAGCCGGAAGTAGATCAAAGGCCGAACTACCACTTGCGTAAAGACCTGAAAAAGTAGCCTTTAGAATCGTTTTAATTGCGCGACATTCAGGTGATTTGAAAGGCTCAAACATAGATTCCGTGCATTTTGCATCGAGAAGGCATTACTGAAAGCACCTTCGAACTCCCCCAGAGATCCGACTGTGTCACTCGAGTGGCCTCTGTTGATGTAAAGGTTTCACAATGCCTTTTCGACCTAAGGCTCATTGGAACTCCGAAAGGCAGGCATCTTAGCGACGTCCCACGTCAGTGCTTTAACTTAATGAAGGGGGAAAAAGAGTCCGATAGGAGGAGGAGGAGTAGAGGGAGCAGACAGTCGATCTGTGCCTTCCAGTTTACCCAATATCTCTTCTATTTATGATCATCCGTAGAATCGGCGCAAGAATCGACTATTGTCTACGGCTGCAAAAATTATAACCACCAAACCGCGCAAGCAGTCCCCAAGTCTTATCGCCCACAACCAAGCAGTTGGGGCCAATTTTGAGGCCACACATCTTTGGGTTGTGTAGGAAGTCACTCTGTTGATTCGATTTGCGGATTGTGAATAACTTTTCCGATTTGTGGCGGGTTGATTGAACTGCCTTGCAAGTGAGCGTTGGCCGCGTACCAAGGGATTGTATGGGGGAGGAAGAACCTCCACCGCCACCACCGTGGTGCGTTGCATTTGGCAGCAGAAGAGGCATTTTCATTCCCGCCACAATCAGTCAGGATTGAAATGGAGAAGTTTGTGCACAAAAAATGGTGTCAAATTGAAGGATTTCCGAAGTTAGCATCACAAATAGCCTACTTTTCTTCGCCAGAGTTTTATTCTCGTCTGCCTCCACCAGGCGGATGAAGAGCGATATCGGTGATGAGAAAAGCACCAAAAGTTAATGAAAGTGAGCTCGCACTGATGTTTTCAAGTCCAAAATATTACCTTCGGTGACCCAATTGGTTTCTCTTCCAACCCAGCAAGCGGGTTCCAAGCGGTTGAGATGATGTCGCCTCTTGGGGTTCTGTAGGGTAAATTTCATTAATAGCATAATTTGGCATAACAAAGTAATGCAGAGCCGTCTCCACCGTTTAAGTATGAACATTACGTCCTCGGGCGCCAGCAAAATGCTCCACTTATTACCAGTCTTTCATTTCCCTTTACCCTCATCAGCGGGAGGACTGGTGGTAAGCAGCAGAAGGAATTTTACAGAAAACGACCCAAAAGGCGACATTCTAGTGACGACAGTCCTCGGATAACTGAATCCACCAGCACACCCTGTGCAATCGCAAATATTTTAATAAAAATGAAAACCACTTCACCTTGCCCCAAAATTGTCGTTAGACACTTTCAAATGCCAACAGTAATTTGCATAACGACAAAGAATTCTGTAGAAACAAATCGGGACATTTTAAGGCAAAAAGGAGAGTGAAATAGCTGAGGATGAAGTATTGCGCCCCGCAGAAAGTCCTGTCTGCAGGATAAAAGTTTACTGGTCTTCTTACTCTGGAGTAAGAGAGTGATACCCCAACATCCGAGGCCAAATCCTCCGGGTTTTGGACACATTGTATCTTCGTAAGTCTAACAAAGTCCTCCCATAAACCTACCCATGCAAGCAGGCAAAAGGAGCACCTACTTCCCATCTATGACTTTAAAATCAGCTTTTCAAGTTGTGTGGCATGTACTTGTCAAAGCGCGGAGGATTCAGACCGTGGCGCAAGGGGTCGCGGGTGAGACTGAAGCAGTAACCGTGAGCAAACCAACTTACGGGATCGCTTCCAGGTGCTGGAGAGCCAATGTCTGGATGTAAGCTTTTATAAGGCAGTGCGTATATTCACGGCCAGCCGTCTTCTTTTTGATAGCCGTCTAATTATACTTATGTCAGATACAAATTCTCTCATATTTTGGCCATTCACCACACAAAAGAATAATTTGCGGGGTTGGTTAGATGTGTGGCTTAATAAATAATTTTTGATTAGGCTAAAGCCTTCTGTCCTGTAGTTTCTTTTGTGAATTATTATGCAAATAAAAGGAATATTAAGATGCTCACCAATAAAACCGGCAATCCTAAAATTCGAAACTCATTTTATACTTTAGAAATTCATTTATGTAATGATACCTTTTTTGGCCTTGATTTGATCTAGCTCATAGTTTTTTTACTTTTTTCAGACAGTATCCTTTTGGTGACATTGGACGTTACGGCAGCATGTTTCTGTGCATCAGCTATGATGCGCATTTCCAGGGCCACATTTTTGCGTGTAAACCTACATGCACTCGTGATTTGGACTAAAATAAAATTATTCTGATTAAAGTGTTAGATTTGGCCAATCGATTCTTTTAATTTGGTACACGTACATTTGGGACAATCGACCAGACAAAGAATTGGAAACGATTCTGATTATGCTTCGGCCTACCAATTTACTTCTGCTGGGCAATTATAACAAATATTTCGACTTGTGTATCATTCTAAAATGACATTGTTCCTCTTCCAATACCAACTCGCTGTTATTATCTTATTTAATCATGATCATTTTTCCTGGAATCAAAGTTGCTAAACAGCAGCAATGCCTATTCTAAAATTTGCTATAGAACCTCGATTGAGGTTGATTTCCTCAGTAGCATGCGTATGCTTTAATGTGACAAAGGTGTGCTTTTAGCCATTTTGCTGCTTCATGATGAGACCAGCACTTGTACAAAATAGGGATGGCTTGATTTGAAATATTATTTCCATCAATTTGGTCAGTTTAATTTAATTATGCTTGCATGCAATCCCTTCAAGGGGCGGGCCTTTCCGTAGGCTTAACTGCAAACTTTCCGAAATCGCACAATTTTGTATTCATGTTTTTAGCACCTTAAATTGACCCCCTGTTTACGTGAATTAAGAATTAATATAACTAGCATATTTTGTGCAATCGACTGAAAGAAAGCGTACCTCGAAAATGGAATCTTTTCAATAACTTGTATCTCGTCTAACCCTGATTCTTCTTTTCGCAATTTTTGTGACACTGTTGGCTTTTTCAACAATTACTAAATACGCCTGGAAAGTGTAAAAAGCGAACCTGTCCTAGGACCTTTCTGACAACCAAGGAGACGTAGGATATTAAAGTTCACTGCTTCTAACTTGTATATAGAAAAGTGATCCAGGAAGCCACCTGATGGTTCTGTTTTCAGGCTTGCCTTTCATTTTCGCACCCTGAGTTGAGGGCATGCGACGCGCATCTACCTGAAATCCAAAAACAACCTGCTGAAAACGCATTGTTTCAGATTGACGTGTCTGTTTGTTTACATTAGGCGCCAACTTTAACATCTGAAACTAAATACATTCCTAAACCCTTAAATGGGGCAACAGACGTGACCACCCATCAAGTTCTTCGCATTTACGAATATTTTGTATGAAGAAGGGAGAATGAGGGGCCAATCCAACATGAAAAATGGGCTCAAGTAATTAAGTCTCCTTCTCTCATCGTCTCTCTAGAACAGAGAAAGCCAGCGGTGAATCATCGGGTTGTTGTGTGGGGATGCAAATGGAGGTCGTCACTTTCTGTCCACTGCACAGAGTAGGCCAGAGCAGAGTAGCTGGGTGATGGGCATTAAGAAGTAGAATACAATGGAAAAGTCGGTTTGGGGCAGGGATGAGGAAGGAGGAAGGAGACACATCACCCCATTGCTCACACTGCTACCGCTGCCACAAATGCGATCAGCATCTTGATCACTGTGCCTATCCCACCTCGCATGGCGGCATCTCGTGAGGTCCTCCAGTAAACAGAGGCAACTACTCCAGTAGCCAACTCCTCATTGTAGGTCTGGTCATTCATCTGTATCTCTTGCGAGTCCATTGGTCTCTCTCTCACCTTCTCAGCTGTTACCTCCGACTTTAGGTACTGTCCACCATCCTCTTTCGCCTCCTCCTCATTCTCGTTCGCCTCCTTCAACATCGTTCTTCGTCTAGGCGAAATCGGAGTTGTCTCCTCCTCCTCCTTCTCTGCTGCCATCCAGTCGTTGTTATCCTCATAGAGTCCTTCCTCTTTTAAAATGCCTGCTGATGTCTCACTAACTGGAGCGGATGTGTGCAGTTCTGTTGTTGTTGATGGTGATGTAGACGCTGCCGATGTTGTTGCTGTAGTGGTAAGACTCCGATTTAATGCGACTTCATCGTCATCGTCGAGTCCTTCCTCTACTAAAATGCTTGTTGATGTCCAAATAACGGGAGTGGATGTGCATAGTTCTGTTATTGTTGTTGTTGTTGTTGTTGAAGGTGATGTAGGTGCTGCCGATGTTGTTGTCGTAGTTGTGGTCGTTGTTATTGTAACACCCCTGTTCAAGGCGATTTCGTTCTCGCGAGAAAGATGCTCCTCAATGCTTTCACCTTGGAATCCGGATTTAAGCATCAGATCCTTCATGACTGACATGCGCATTTTTGAGCCCGGTGTTGGGTCGAGACAGGTATTTTTGAAGCAGCAGAGACGACAGGTCTGAAGGAAGAAGGAACACACTTGTCGGTCAGAAGTCTTGAAGTGCGTTGTTGGCATCACTGGTCAAGTGATCATTGGTCTCTGCCTTCCAGCCCTTTGATGTTGCCCTTTTAGCTCACAGCGATTCAGCTGTGCCTTCATGATTGAGGAAGAGGGCTCTCTAAGTACTCTGGTTACCAAAAAAGGAAGAAATAATAGAGGATAGGGGGGAGCGGGAGCACAGACCTTAACACCGTTGATGAAATCGGTGCACATCAGTCTGGTGTAGCCTTCAGGACAGCTGTGACGGGCGGAACAACCGGCGCGGAAATCGAACATCTTCGTGGAATTCGGCGTGAAGAACATCTCAACCTTTGGTCGGGCACCGAAAAAAACAAACATTATGAAGAACGATAAAGTTGGATTTCGTGGACGGACAATTACACCTGATTGGGCAGTCATCGCAATTGAGAGGAATAGCCAGTGTTTACTGGTCCCATCAAAAAAACAACCAGAGGGGTGGGTAAAGAGTACGAAGTTGCATATACCCTGCTTATCCAATGTGATTGTATACCTGTCAACCCCTTCCCCCTCTGCTGTCAATATCACACATGAGGTTTTTATACCTCAGGCCGGCGCCACAACAGCGTGGCATGTCCTCTTTATGCCTTGGCTATAACTCACGTCACACCAAATCGGCTTTGTCACTGTGTCTGACTCGCCTCCAACATTGATAGCTCCTGGAACCAAGTTTCGTGGTGCTCCTGTCTGACGTCACCCTTTTTGTTACCTCAGGCGTGGCTCCGGTAATTAAAAAACATTTATCTTGTGCTAAATGACGCTGAAATTGTCAAGACAAGTCCACTTTTGGGGCTTTAGAGGAATGGCTCAAACGCCAACTTGGTTTTACCCCTGTAAATGCCAGTGACTGGGGCAGCAGACGCACATCCACTAGATAAACAAAGATTTTTACTAATTTATTACTTTTTGCAAGCCTGGTTGTAAACAACAGGGCGACGGGATATACACTGTGTTCACGGAACCCCACCCGATTTTCTCATGCGCCACAACATGGTGTCAGCCAGTCCACATCAATGCCTACCATGCAGCACTTTCCAGTCTCTAATTGGCAGTTGTGATTAAGTGGGGAAAGGGAAAGAGAACGAAAGCTGTCAGAGCTGTATAACTGCCCTTAAAGCGGGAGTTGATCAGCCGGAGAGTTGTAGGGCGTATCGCCTAATAATCGGAGGTGCCTCTATCACATCCAAACACTGGGCGGAGCAGCCCCGCTGAAGCACGTCAAGTGAACGTCACCTTGTAATGCCTCCACGTAGAATGCGCACAGAGCCGAACTACCTGCATTTACAGGCGGTTGGCTCGTTCGTTTAATTAATTGAGCCTCAAAACTGGCTTGATGTATTGCGCAACGACGACCGCTGCAACCAATGCAAGTAAACAAATTCGGCAAGCCGTGACACTTTAAACCACAAGGCGTAAAAGGGTTTTTGGTTGGGCTGCAAAAAAACCTTTTCGCCCTCTTTTTTAACAATTTTGCATTAAAATTGCTAATTAGGTAGTTGGCTGTAGGAGCATTTTGTCCTCATGCATCTCACATCGCTACTGGGGCGCCAGTTCAGACCTCCATACAAAACCACAAAACCACTCCACGCCAGATGAGGAGACAAAGGCGACGAAGTTGGCGATAGTTACTATCACATAGCTAAGCTAAGTTAACAGAAGAGGGGACGAATAATCAACCGCCGAGG